CAATTACAATTCAATTTATGATTATCTGTTATTACAATTGTGGGACAATATTAAAACTAAGTTAAGTATTCATAACACTATTATCTACTGCTATCTTTAAAATAATACGTGTATTGTGTTTTATTTTATTATATTTAAGTTGACAAATTTTAATACCTATAACTAGCTGTATTATATTTAAAGTCGCACTGGAGATTACTGGAGATTAAGAGTGGTGCTGCTATTTTTATAATGAAACATTTCTCGTCCTTACTCTTCCTCTCGCCTAGATAAAATATTAAAACTTTTCAAATACTGGTCCAAAAGTTGTTATGGAGCATTCATATTCTTAATTATCTATTAAATAATATTATGGGTGTTGCTATTTGAAAAATTAAAGTTGTCACCTTTAGGGAATGAATAAAAAAACATTATGCTTGAAAAATTGAACTAAAAGAAACATAAAAAGTTATTGGTATTATTTTTATTTTTAATTAGTTAAGTGGCTCGTGAATAGTAATTCACTGTGTATAATTTAGTTATTTATCGAGTCCGATTATTTAAAACTATTTAGAACAATTTTTAAAAAATTCTTTCATTTTTTTTTTTAGGTTTTGGAAAAAAAGAAACCAGTTGAAGAATGTTGCGAAGGATTCACGGTTTCTTCAAATGGTACTCACTGCATTCCAGTTTGTCAATATCCTTGTGAATATGGTACTTGTGTGTTTCCTGATATATGCAAATGTGACGAAAATTATGGTGGCCCATACTGCAATAAAAGTAATTTATCCATTTTAATTATTATCTGGATGAATATTCATCCTATTTATGCAGTAAATTCTTAAGTATCATACAAATATATATAAATAAATAAATAAGCATTTTTAATCAAAGAAAATAATGTTTTGATTCATCAAATCAAAAAGTAACAACTTGCCCCGAATCGGGGTAAATTGTTACATACTGGGGGCAAGTTGTTATAATATTCATTTTTATTTTATTTGATAAATATTATTCGAAAAAATAACAAAAAGTAATAGTACAAAGTCTTATGGTAAAATCAATCTTGCGTGTAACAATTAAAATTATGTAAACCGGAGATGATGGACTACAACAAACATGTTTCTGAAAATGTTCAACAAACTGTAAAAAGGAAGATGCAGTTACCCATCTACTTGAATGGCTAGGTTCAATGCAGCCAGTAGGTCTATTGCTCGTATAATGCTGTTTAAAATTAAATCTTGGAAATATAAGCATAGATGGCAATGAGTTTCCTATGGCATTGACAGCAAATACCATAGTTACAGTTGTCCCTCTTTCACCAGAAGTAGCCCTACCAACTTGCTTTTTCCCTTTTAGCTTCGATGCGAAGCTGAGAAGGTATTAATTTTACCATGATGTGTTTATTTTTTTTTTTATTTTAGCTTCGATGCGAAGCTGAGAAGGTATTAATTTTACCATGATGTGTTTATTTTTTTTTT